TGATTAATTTCCTGGTATTCTGGAGAAGAAAATGCAGCATTAAAAGTTGTTTTTTTTCACATCTCTTTCTAATGCGAGCGCAAGCATATCAAGACGATTGATAGCGCAAGGATATTACTGATCCTATGTCCATCAAAATGACTGAAAGAAAACATTCTTGGCAGGTACATCGCTGCTTTCATTTCCTTTGTTGTTGCTTGAAAGCAAAAAGCAGTGAAGGCTGAAGAAAGAATAATGCACGGAGCTACGGTAGGATCCTCATTGTGACTTACAGGAGAAATTAGTGCTGCTTGAATAAAAGAATGTATCTTTTTTATTTTTTGTTTTTTATGATCATTCATTGATGCATACTTTTCTGCCGGCCTCTGAGCACTTTTTTTATCTAAACCATGATAAATTTTTATTCGAAAAAATGTTAAATTTTTTGGAATCTTATTGTTTTTAATGCCAAATTGTTAAACGATTTAAAAATTGCATCAGTAACGACTTTTACTGTTTTTTATTCATCTAAATTAATAATTATTAATTTCAATCTAAAAAGTCTGCCGTAGTTGCAGTTGCCTTACTTAGATAATAAATCGTTTGCACTAAAAATTAAAAAAAGATCCCAACCGCTCCTTCACGTCACGCTTTTTGAAACTATGCTTTTCCCAAGAAAAGCCTGGTCACGTACTTTTTTGGTTGACAAATCCACTCTTGCTTTTTGCCTCGACTTCGGATTTCTATATAAAACTAATTATTTTGTGTGGAAAAAGCAGATAAATGAGTGAATTTTAAATACCATGGTGTTTATAGTTTTCCCATCGTTGTTGTTGAGATGATGCGGCCCAAGACGATCAGTAAAAATCAGATCGATGTAGAGAATAAGACGAATCACAGCAACCATCAATATGGCAATCATCAGTTGCAAATGTAATAAATTCCTAAATACCCGCAACCTCCTGAAATACGCCGCAAAGTCCCTCAAAAACAGTTTTCTTTTTTGCTATTGCGGAAAACACATACACACAAAAGGTTCCATGCGGGGTCAGTTTCACCAAATTCGTGCGAAATCGCGGGAAAGAAACTATTAATAAAACTCGACTTGAAGATCAGCTGTTTACTGAGAATTTTGACAGTCCTTGAGCTTAGTAACAGGCATTTCGTCTTTGCCGCAATTCGATCATTTTCATCAGTTTTT